CCAGGCAGTACGAGAACGCGTCAAAGTCCAGGATGCCGTCCAGGTCCACCTCCTTGAGCTTGCGGTTGGCCTGTGCCACGGCAACCAACGCCTCCGAGTATGGCAGCGGCTCGCAGTCCCCACCCTCGTCCGAGTCGTACGGGTCGCGCATCGTCGCGGGGTGACCGATGCCGAGCTCCATGTCTAGCGAGCTGCGCAGGTCGAGCGCCTCGAGGCCGCTGAAGATCGCGAGATCTGCCAGCTCCTCCGGGCCAAAGTTGCGCGAGCAGTACGGCAGCGAGAGGACACGCAGCGAACGCGTCAGCCGGCTCTGCTTGGGATTCTCGCCCTCCGCATCGGTGCCGCACAGGATCCGGGAGATGTGGGCCGCATCGTGCCAGTGCAGCTCCTCGAGCGACGTGCACGCCTCCAGCAGCGAGCGCGTCTGCTCGACGAAGCCCTCTTCGGCCACGGCGCCGTCCGTGGCTCTGATCATCAGCGAGCGACAGCCCGCAAGCTGCGCGGGCTCGGCGCGCGCGTGCTTCTGCTTGTCGAATTTCTCGCCGCGCGGCACCGCGTACGCGAGCAGGTCCGCATCGACGAGCACCTCGAGCTCGGCGTTTGCATCCACGCCACGAGGCGGGCCGGGGAAGGAGTAGTGGACCTTGCCCGAGCGCTGCAACGCTGACTCCTTCTGCTTCTTCTTCTTCTGCTGCTTTTGCGCAGCAGTGCGCGCGGCCTTCTGCAGCAGGGCCTCGTCGGCCTTCTTCTCCGCATCGAGCACGCTCTGCCGCACCACGCGGATGAGCACCTCCGAGTCGTTGTCGAAGTTCTCGCCCTCCACCGAGTCCCACGGCGGCGGCCCTGTGCCGAAGTGCTCGTCGGCCCAGTCCTCGAATTCCGCGGTGCACTGCCGCACGCGCTTGGCCTGTGCAACCGCCTCCTCCTCCGTCTCAAACTGCCCTTCGACAGCTGTCGTGCTTCGCGACACCAGCTCGGCCTCGGAAAATTGACGGCCACGGTGGCAGCCACGGCCGCTCATGGGATAGCTGGTCACTGCGACCAACCAAGGATCGTGCTCGGCTGGGGCTTTGCTCTTGGGTGCCATCCACCTCCGATAGGCGAGGGCCGCGACGGCGGTCCCAGTGACGACGACGACGAGAGTCGCGATTGGTCCGCGACTGGGTACCTACGTACGCGGGAAGACCGCCGCCGCGCGAATCGGGTGTGAATTCCTTTTGGCTGGGCTGCTGTGTACTCGAGTTCAGGGAGAGCGACTGGTCCCAACGATGGGCTACACACCGACGGCGACGCAGCGGCAGGCCAAGGGGGCGGCGGCCGAGCCAGCTAGGGCTGCGGCTGGGGAGCAGGGGAGAAGGCCATCTAGAGGCCAGACAGTGCGAGGTCCCTCCCTGACTTCCATGCGCATGCCACTTCGGTAGAGAGCACTTTCGCGGCGAGCGGCCCGCCACCGCCTCCGCGCACCGCCGCTATGCCGCTGCCGCCCCGCGCCTATTGCCAGATCGCGACGTTTGAGCGCAGCTCACGTCTAGGGTACCCAGGCTCCGGGCCAGTGTGCGGGGAGCGAACCTTAACGACCGCCCAGAAGATTTCTGAGCAAACCAATCGGGCCAGGATCATCAGCATATGTCCCCTGCACAACATCGTGGGCGTTTGAGCAGTATTTGAGGAGCACCGCCACTCTGAAGTTCGGCCGGGTGGTCTGCAGACCCCCCCCCCCCCGGAGCAGCAGAGGCTCCGTGGGGTCGCAGAGTCGACGCTGGGAGTCGCACTCGTCAAGCCATCGCAGCACCACGCGGTTTGCACGTACCGCTCACATCCCCTCCACCGCTGAGAAGGCGCAGATCGACCGCCGGGCCGCGTAGTCGTCGTTAAGGAGCGGATCCGGTTTTTGGAGCCGTACGAAGAGGTCCCAGACGGGCGAACATGCGGTTTTTCGACGACCACACGCGATGTGGTATCTGCTTTTTGCTAAAAACGGGCCGCCTAGTGCAGCATCACTAGTACAACACGCAACCACACTGAGAGCTCCACACTAGCCGGTATAGGCGAGCGACGACGGCGTCACGGTCGCCGGAGTGGACGCACTGCACACACACTGTGACCGTGTCGACGGTGTGACAGTGAGCGACACAATCGTCGGCGCCGCGCTTTCGCGGCGCCCCGCAGTCTACACGCCTCGGGCGCACCCCTGAACGCGCCATGGGCGCGCAGATACACCGCAGCGCCGTGGAGAATCCACACCTGGCCGGTCCCAAGCCCCGTCCTGGGCCTCCAGGCGGCCGAAGATCGGCGTTCGGGCGGGATGAACTTGTCGGAAATGGAGCACACTTGGCGCGGCTCGCCGCTCGCGGTACCTCGTGAGCCGTGATAGGGCAAAATCTGGGGTGAATACGAGGGACAGAGGTCGCAAGTTGGTCGCGCAAGTTTGCGCGGCGTGGCGCTGCCCCGCTGCCGAGGGCGCCACCAACCCGTGGCGGCGGCATTTCCAGCCCAAATTGGGCGTTCCGTGCGCCTTGCCGGCGAGAACGGACGGGCTGTGCAACGTTGGGGGGGTGAGTGGGAGGGAGGTGGTCGTGTGCCTACTTTGTCGGCCGCGCACGACAGCGATCATCGCCACCCTCCGGCCGGCCCGGCATCGCCAACCTCGCGCCTGGGGCACGGACGCGGAGGCAGGTCGCTAGACTGAGATGAGACCGCCAGTGGAGTTGGGAGTCCACCGAGCACCGGCCACCGCGCTGCGAGCCTGTCGGCTGCGAGTGCACCAGCGGACGAAGCGGCCGCTCGCGGCGAGGCCTCGACCGCGCCGACCGCGCCCGGCGGCGGCATGAGCACGACCCGGACGATGTGTTCGTCGGGGGCGGCCGTCGGCGGGCGAGCGATGGTCAGCGTCGTGCCGTGCGTCGCGCCCGGAGGAAGGGGCACGATCCAGCGCGCTCCGGTGCTGGTGTCGAGGACGAGGCGGCCTCGGCGCCGCTCGGCACCGCGATGAGCTCGCGGCGCGCGAGCGGAGAGAGAGCTGTCGGCACTGACAAGAGCACTCAGAGCCGCAAGAAAAAGAATTCTTGACTCGCGCTCTCTAGGCCTCCCCGGAACCTCGCCTCTCCATCTCCAGCCCATGCGCCTGCGTCCAGCCACGGCACCGTGGCTGAACGGAAAGAACCCGCAGCCGGACCGCGCGCACGCACTGACAGGGTGCACGATCGGTGTGACACGAGTCTAGAGCGCCCCGAAACGGCACGATCAGACCCATGCTGCGGCAAGAAGCGATGCGCGCCCCTAGAAACGCCCATAGCGCCACGCCGCCTCGCTCGCGCCCGAGTCGCTCCCCGGAGGGAAGAAATAAGAGAGCGGAGAACGAGCATGGGAAGGAGAGAGGTTGAGAGGAAAGAGACACAGCGGAGAGACAGAGAGCAGAGAGTGTGTCAGAGAGATAAGAGAGAGAGAGGAGAGAGAGAGAGGAGAGAGAGAGAGAGAGAGAGAGATTTACAGACGGGTGCGCGATTCCTCGAACGTGCAAGCGTGGAACCACGAGCGCTGTTGCGCTGGCAAGCCAGTGCAGACAGCCCCGGAGAAAAATCAATTTGATCATTGTGCCGGTCAGTGACCGGCATACCAGAGATCAAACTGATAAGAACAGATACTACACTTGATCTTAGCCAAGAGGCCGAGAAGAGTGAAGACGCTGCCGTGGAACGGGGGCCTTTTGAAGCGGCCCGCCGCCACGTGCCTTGTGGGTGTGCCGCGCTCAGCGTCGGCCTCCCCCTCGGCAGCCGCTCCGCTCTTATCACCGCGGACACCCGGGCTCGCCGCTCGCCCGCCCTCGCTCTCGCCGCGCACCCTCGCCGCGCCCTCGGCCGGCGCGCCGCCTCGCTCCTCCTCGCTGCGGGCTCGCCCGGCGAGTGCAGCCAGAACGCTCGCCGTCGCCCACTCGCTCGCCGCAGTGATCACGCTGCTGCGCGGTCCACACACGGTCACGCCCCTCTCGGCCCAGGGCCGGCGCGCAACCTCTTTCCGCTCGAGTGTCGAGACGGCTGCGTAAACACACTCTAAACATCTCGACATTCCACTCTTATACTACCATCGACTACCAGTACCACCCACTACTCAAACACGCTCTGGCCGACAAACCTCACATTGCTGGACACTGTTGGGACTGTATTGGACACACATTCGCAGCCACTAGTGAACACGATGGGTGACGCGCACTCTAGTAAACAAGCACAATGGACTCTCAATGGAGTCATGCGCGCGCGAGGCCGTATTGAACACGGTATTCGGCGCAATATGGCCTATAGTACAGCCCTTGAGGAGGAGGAAGAGGCTGGCTGGCAGTGCTGTATGCCGCCGAGGGGCAGTTTTGGGGTGCTGACCCACGCCCAGAGGGCTGCAGAACGCGTCCGCAACCGGGACAACCCGCCCCCCCAGCCGAGGCCGGTCGAAGCCCACACTTGAGTGCAGCCATGAGGAGTCCTCTTGGTGCTCCTGGCGGCCGTTTGAAGGGCGGGCGCGCGCCGATGGGGGGGGGGGGGGGGGCGTCTTGCTTGCTCCACACCGAGCGCCATCGGTCCGGACCGGTGCACTCACCGAGGGTCGGCTTGCACAAGGTCTGAGCCGCGGGCGCTCGGCGCCAAGTGCAGTGTCACGCTCGCGCTGGAGCGGGTCACAATGGGAAACCCTCGTTTCCTATGAACTCGGTCCCCCGACGGAAGAGGCCTCGCTCCTATTGGAACAAGCCAACATCAGATTTGCCTCGTGCGTCCCTTTTTGAGCCGGAAAGCTATTTTCTTTTGGGTCCTGTGGGCACCCTATCGATGCTGCTGGCCAGTCGAAGTTGATTTCTCCCAGGCGCGCCGCCGCGACGCTGTCATAGTCGTCCTCGCTCTCGTCGTCACTTCCATCCAGCTGCGTCCCCCCTGCCGCCGTGTGTCGTGACAGTTCGTCTGGTATCGACGTCTGGTACTTTCTCTGGTGGCTGCGCCGTTCCTGTCCGGAAGATCTCCCCAGTGTAGATGCTACACACCTCAATGCTCAAACCAGGGCTGTGCGTAGCCCGGTCGAACACCCAATAAACAAACAAATAAATTCCCCCTTCGAGCTGAGTCCCGCGCAATCTTGTCATTCATCAACGATGGTGCCAACGGCCGAAAAGCGCCGGTAAGCAAGGACGATGGAGGTGCGTCTTTCCCATGCTCGCGCGCCCCCCGAGCGCGAACTATGCACGGGCCCGGCTCGCCCGCTTGGGGATCCACCCGGCACACCCCCGCCCCCCACCTGCCGGCTTACCTGCCGTCAGTTCACGCGGGATCGCCCTCAACTGTCAGCAACTGAAATCCACAAGCTCTGGGCTGTGCCTTCACCCTCGCCTCACAGCCGACCTTCTGGTCGTACGCGGGTTCTTAAGGGTCGTACATGCCGGCCATGACGTCTGCCCACCGGCCGTTCGCAGGCCGTAGCTTCGCACGACCCTGACAACACCGAGAATGACCCGCGCGAGAAAGTGTGCGCGGCGGCGTACTTTTCCTCTGAGGCTGTGGCTGCTGCCCTGGCCTCCCTGGCGACCAAGGATGAGCCGAGCGCCGTGGCGCTGGCCGTGGCTTGCCCTGAGGGCGGCCTCACCCTCTCGCACGTCGCCTACCTCCTCAACTTGGCGGCTAAGATGGCGAAGGCGACGGGCGGGCTCGACAATAAGACCCTGATCTTTGCCCGCTGGGTGGCCGCCTGCGAGGCGGCGAGCGCTAGCGGGCCGATGTCCTTGCCCACGTCCGACCAGCTCCGCGGTGAGTGCGCTCTGGCTGCGCTGCGAGCGCAGCGTCGCTCGCTACAACAAGCGCCGCGAGGATGTCCGCTCGCGCCTCCGCTCAACGTCCAAGCGCAGCGGCAACACCCTCGCCGAGGCCGAGCGGGCGATGCGCGCGCTCGAGATCGAGTCGGCGACGCGCTTCGCTTTCCCCAAGATCACCTCGACCGCGGCCGACGCGGGCGGCGGCGGCGGCGGCGGCGCCGCCGCCGCAGCAGCAGAGATCCCCGCCGACCTCAAGCTCCTCGCCTTTGCGATGGGGACGCACGAGCGGCTCGGCGCCTCGAGCGCCGTGCGGCTGCTCGACATGGACGCGCTCGGGCTCATCGCCGCGGCGGTGCGCGGGAAGCGCCCGCCGCCGCCGTCGGAGGTCGTCAGGCTGCGGCGGCTCGCGGCGCGGCAGCTGCGCGAGATCGAGTACCAACGCGGCCTCCTCTCGCGCGCCGTCACGGAGCTCGGCCATCGCGACCGCCGCGCGGCGGCGGCCGCTGCGGCGGCCGTGCAGCAGGCAGTCGCGGCCGAGCGCGAGCGCGCAAGTACTCGGAGCTCAAGAAGATGGGCAACGAGAGGCTGGCCGAGCAGCTCAAGTTCTACAAGCTGATTGAGAAGAAGACCGGCTTCAAGACGACAGGCGCCGCCGCTTGGGTTGCTCCGTAGTAGTAGTTGAGATTGTCACCGGCGCTCTGTCCTGGTAGGCACGGGGCCGGAGATGCGGACGCAGCTGCAGTCGCTGATCTTCGAAAAGTTCGGGCTCGGCTGCAATGACCTCGCGGAGGGTGACGCGGGGACCGACGGGCGCGAGTCGGACGGGCTACGCCGCAAGGGGTGCCGCGAGACGGTCGGCGGGGGCAAGAAGAAGAGCCTGCTGCCGCGGTGTCGTGCTTCCGTGGCCGACGTGGCAAGCCGCAGGACGTCAAAGAGCGGGGCGCCGGATGCGCGCGTGTGGCGTGCGCAAGACATCGAAGGCGCCAATGGCGCTGTGGACGCTGAATCTGAAAGCAGCGCCTCCTCCTCGACGGGCCGTGCCTCCTCCGAGGGCGCCGCCAGCATCGACTACGACTGAGAGCCAACTCTCTCACAAGCGCATGTGCGACCATGCGTCGCCCGTTGCTCTGCATTTGCGCCCCCCCCCCGCCCCCCCCGCGGTGCCCCCTCACCATTAGGCTGTATATGCTTTTCCTCTCGCACCCCGTCTTTTTTCTTTTCCTTTTTTCCTCTGTACAGCCTCTCTTTTCCTCTCTATTTTCCCGAGAAAACTCCGTGGAAATCGTCAATTTTTTGGCTCTGTGAGCCGAGTCTGAGGCTGTTTGTACGCGCAAATACCCACTATGCAACGGGCTTTCGCAAATTTCTTCGCTGGGGCTGTTGCCTGGATTTTCTTTTCCTCGCGATGTCCATTCCGCCGCGCCGCAGCTCGCGCCTCCTCGCCTCCGCCACCACCGCCGCGCCCTCGCCGAACACGCCGCCGCCCGCCCGCCTCCTCGACCTCCCCAGGGAGCTCCTCGAGCGCGCCATCTCTCGCTGCGACAGCCCCATCGACATCGCTCGCGTCGCGGCCGTCTCGCTGCTCTTTCACTCGCTCATGGAGCACGGCATCCGCTTGTGGGCGCAAGGGCGCGGCTTCGAGCTGCCGGCGCAGCCAGAGGGCGAGGTCTGCGCCGTGCGGTGGCTCTGCTTCGCGGCGCTGCTGCGCGAGTCCAACCCGCCGGCGAGGGCGGCGGCGGGCTACTCCCACAGCGTCTTCATCGACGGCGAGGGGCGGCTCTCGTCGTGCGGCTCGGCGGATGACGAGCCAGGCCTCCTCGGTCACGGCGAGGGCGTGACGGGGCTCAACACGCCGACCCGCCTCTCCTCTTCGCTGGGCGGCGAGCGTGCCGTGAGTGTGTCGGCTGGACTTAACCACAGCCTCGCCCTCGCCGCCGACGGCGCCCTCTGGAGCTGGGGCCGTGGAGGCGAAGGCCGGTTGGGCCACGGTGACGCGCAGAGCCAGTGGCAGCCAAAGAAGATGGAGGCCTTGGCTGGTCGGCGCGTCGTCGCTGTCTCGGCGGGAGGCAGCCACAGCCTCGCCCTCGCCGCCGATGGCGCCGTCTGGAGCTGGGGCGAGGGAGCCTTTGGCCGGCTGGGCCACGGCGACACGCAGGACCAGCTGCTGCCCAAGAAGGTCGAGGCCTTCGCTGGCCGGTGCGTCGTCTCCGTGTCGGCTGGAGACAGTCACAGCCTCGCCCTCACCGCCGGCGGCGCCGTTTGGAGCTGGGGCGGTGGAGGCTATGGCAAGTTGGGCCACGGCAACTACCTGAGCCAGTGGCAGCCCAAGAAGGTTGAGGCCTTTGCTGGCCAGCGCGTCGTCGCGGTGTCGGCTGGAGCCCACCACAGCCTCGCCATCACCGCTGACGGCGCCGTCTGGAGCTGGGGCCAAGGAGGCAGCCGCTTGGGCCACGGCGAGCAGCAGCACCAGCTGCTCCCGAAGAAGGTCGAGGCCTTTGCTGGGCAGCGCGTCGTCGCTGTGTCGGCTGCTTGGTACCACAGCCTCGCCCTCACCGCCGGCGGCAGTGTCTGGAGCTGGGGCTGGGGAGCCTATGGCAAGCTAGGCCACGGCGACGCGCAGAACAAGCTGCTGCCGAAGAAGATCGAGGCTTTGGCGGGCCAGCGTGTCGTCGCTGTGTCGGCTGGATACACCCACAGCTTCGCCCTCACCGCCGACGACGCCGTGTTCACCTGGGGCAAGGGCGAGACCGGCTGCCTAGGCCACGGAGAGGACCTGTCGAACCAGCTGCTGCCCAAGAAGGTCAAGGTGTGGGCGCGCGGTGTCTGAGCACCAGGGAAACCACCCCCAGGTCTCCAGTGTCGCGTCTCGCGACTCGCCTGAGGGTCCGAGGGTGCGAGGCGCTTGCCCCAGCTTTGTGTGTGTGGAGAAGTTTGCCAAAGCTTACCTTACCTAAACTCAGCCCCCGCACCTCCCGTACACAACGCGTACTTGACTCTCTCTCAGCCACACCGACAAGGGACCGACTTGCACCCCCCCGCCCAGCATCGCAGCATGGCCATGCACACAGCGCTTGCAAAGCCTCCAGGGGAAGGGGGGGGCGCGAGACCCGAGCGCAACGCATGGACTAAAGGACCGCCCCCATCACACCCTCCCCTACCGTACGCATGCTCCTCCCCCGAAGTATACTGCACGCACGCCGCCGCCTCGGCCCCTCACCGGCCCGCCGGCGAGAGAAGTTTACCTTACCTTACCTTACCGCCGGCGAGTGCAGCTCGACGAGCGGCGAGACGACCTGCGGCCCGAGCCTAGTAGAGAGAGGCACCAGGACTCAGAGGGGGGCGCATGAGCATGACGAGCGTAGTAGCACAACTATGCTGTGATCTGCATCTGGAGCGGGTCCGCCCGCAGGCGCATTTTGTATACCGAGGCGGTGCCCGGTGCCGAGCGCAGGCAGTGCCCACAGGTCGGACCTTAAGACAGCATTGAAGGGGAGAGCGGGGCCGGGGGCGGGGGCGGCGGCGGGGGCGGCGGCGGCGGCGGCGGCGGCGGCGGCGCGCGGCGCACGCGTGCGCGCGCGACTGAGGCTCGAGGACGATGAGCGCTGGTAGCGTGGCTTCACCTCAGAGTCACACCGCCTAGTCTCACTGTTTTCCCGCAGTTGCCAAGCTTCAAGCAAGTGTCGCTCTCGCACTACGGCTCTTTACCACGCTTTACCGCCGCACCTGTCTCTCCACCTATCATCCCAACTCCTCGGGCGACCGAGCGGCTGCGCTACTCAGGCAGCCTCCCTGCCTCAGCTGTTACAGGCACCACCCAGCGACCAGTCTCGACGACGAGCCGCGGCAGGGCTCGCTGCGCCGCTGCACAGCTTTACGCCACAACACAACATATCATCCAACATAACCTCTCCATGAGTGCCCCACCCTTGCGGGCTCAGTTGCCGCATTAGGAGCCTTCGCACCGCGAGTGGGCTCAGGTGGGATCCACACAGAGAGAGGTTCAGTACAGAGCCGCACTCTACACACCTTACCCCCCTACTCGGGCGGCATCGTGGTGAGACCCTGGGCAGTCAGAGAGGCTGGCAGTAAGTGGCGGGCTGAGAATTCGGGCCTCTCCCGACCCGCCATCGTTGCCTAAGGGAGGATCCTATCGGCCACTATAGACCATGACAGATCAGAGGCGCACATGCCTTGTCCCAGCTCCCCCACTCCTCACACTGGGTTTGCAGTGCGCGGCCTCACCACCTCCCTACCAGGGCAAACCCCCTCTCTGCCCCCCTAGGTGCTGCACTGGACGCCCATAGAAGGCGCGTGGCAGAGGCGGGAGGGAGGCGGGGAGAAACTAGCTCGCTCTGGTGAGGAGGCAAGGGTATGACAGAGTGCTTGGGTGAGAACAGGCCCTGTTCTCACCCAAGCACTCTGTCGGGAACAGGCGGAGTGTGTGTGCCTGTACGCGATTGGGAGCTGCACTTGTGACGAGGCAGGGTTAGGCGAGTGGCAGTCGCTGGTGCGGACTTGCTGAGTCGTGTGTGCTCCACCTTTTTGCTTGCTAAGACTGGAACAATTTTTTTTACGGCGCATATAGGTGTGAGGAGTGAGGTGACTGCCCGGAGTCTCAGTGTAAACGGTCGAGAGCAGAGAGAGCTCGCTCCCCCGACAGAACGCAGAGCAGCGAGCAGGTCCAGTGAGCTGTGAGGGCGATTTTCCGTGTACTCAGCCTCCACACCCTGCGGTTGACGTACTGTAAACCATTTACGCGCCACGCCCCTCGTCCCGTGGCCTCCCACGCCCACCCCGCCCACCCCGCCCACCCCGCCCATCGCGCCCACCGCGCCCCCCTCTCCCCCCTCGCCTACCGACCGCCTCCGTGGCGCCCACGGGCTGAGCCTGGGGCGCGGGGCGCGAGGGCGGCTGGTGGACAAACGTCGCCTGCGCCGCCACCAGCCGCCCAGTTGCGGCGATGGGCAGCGCCGGCTGGCGGCAGGCCGGGCAGTTGGTGTCGCGCTCCAGCACGCGCGGCGCACATGCCTCGCAGTACAGAGCGTGGCCGCACGCGAAGCGGACCGAGCGCGGCGCGTCGTAGCAGAGGTCGCACTGGCGCTCCTCGGCCCCAGCCGTCTCCTCCACCTCCCCCGCCGCTTCGACTAGCGCCTCCAGCCGCGGCAGCGCCTCTGCGAGCGGCATCCGCTTCTTCTTCCGCTCGTATGCCAGCCCGACCACGAGCCGCGCCAGCTCCTCGGCCTGCGCCGCCGACCAGCCCGCGTCGGCAGCCGCGATGCGCTCCGCCGTGTCGGGCTCTTCCAATTCATCCTCGCACGCGTTGAGCAAACCCAGAGCGCCGCGGCCGGTCAGGGCGACGAGCAGCGTGATGCCGAGCGCATAGCCGTCGGTCAGCACGCTGGCCTGGCCATCCTGCGTGATGATCGGGTCCATGTAGCCTGGCTTGCCAAAGATACGCTGCGTCGACAGGTGCGACACCTGCTGGTTGCCGCCGGCCGTCGCCTCTGCCGCGCGCGCGAGGCCCACGTCGGCGAGGTAGCCGTTGCCGCGCTCGTCGAGCAGGATGTTGCCCGCCGAAACATCGCGGTGCAGGATCATCGGAGAGAGCGTGTGCAAGTAATGCAGCGCGCTCGCGGCGTCGCGCAGCACGCGGAGCCGTGCGGCGGAGGAGAGCGGCGGAGGCGGCGTCTCGAAGCCGAGCATGCGGAGCCGCTGCAGTGCGGCTGGAGCGCGGTAGAGGCGGTCCTCGAGGCTGCCGCCGCGGCAGAGGGGGTAGACGAGGCACGCTCTCGCCGGTGCCAAGCAAGCGCCGAGGAGAGGGAGCAGGGACCGGTGGCACGCTGCGCTGAGCGTGCGTACCTCGCTCTGCAGCTCGGCGAGGCCTTGGGCGCCGACACCGACCAACGCCGTCTTGACCGCGAACCCGCAAGCGACGCACGGCAGCGACGGCAGCGCGTCGGCGCGGTAGACGCGCCCGAAGCCGCCCTCGCCCACCTTGCGCGCCTCGTCAAAACCGTCAGTCGCCGCGATGAGCTCGTCGAGAGGGACGGCGGCGGGCGGCGCGGCGGCGGCGGCGAGGGCGGCGACACTCGACGCCGCCTCTGCTGCCGCCTCTGCTGCCGCCTCTGCTGCCGCCGCCTCCACTGCCGCCGTCTCCGCTGCCGCCGCCTCCCTAATCCTCGCCTCCTCCCTCTCCCTCGCTTCCTCTCTTGCCCGCGCCGCGGCCGCTTCCTCCGCCACCCGCGCTGCCTCCTCTCTTGCCCGCGCCGCCTCCGCCGCCGCTGCCCTCACCGCCGCCCGTGCTGCAGCAGCCTCTGCTACAGCAGCCTCTGCTACAGCAGCCTCTGCTACAGCAGCCTCTGATGCAGAAGCCTCCGCGGCTAACGCCGCCCTCGCCTCCTCTGCCGCTCGAGCCTCCTCCACCACCCGCGCCGCTGCCTCCGCCTGCCTCGCCGCAACCTTCTCCTTCTGCCGCTGCCGCTTCAGTGCCTTGGCCATCTCGTCGCGCAGCCGCCGCGCCACCTGCAGCGCCTCCGAACCGTCGGCGGCCTGGGTGTTCGCGTTGATCGCCGCCCTGAGCGCCTCGAGATCAGCATCGCCTCGCTCGCACGCCTCAACCGCCTCACGCAGCGCCGCCTCGGCAGCATCGCGCGCCTCCGCCGCCTCCGCAGCCGCTGCCGCCTCGCGCGTGGCCGCCGCTGCCTGTTCGGCTGATTCTGCGACCGCCGTCTCCCCCTCCGCCTCTGCTGCGGTCGACGAGTGCTCCTCGAACGCGCGCACACACTCGGCGTGGCCCTTCCCCTGGGCAAACTGAAGCGCCGCCCTGCCGGCAACAGTAGGCGCCACGTCTGCTTCCGCCCGCAGCAAGCGCCGCACGACGGCGGGGCGGTTGAAGATAGCGGCGAACATCAGCGCGGTGAAGCCTTTGATGTCCTGCAAGTTGACATCAGCGCCGTGCTGCAGCAGCAGCTCGACCACCCGCTCGTGGCCTTGGCAAGCGGCGTCCATCAGCGCAGTGCCGCCTCTGCTGTTCTGCAGGTTGATCTCCGCGCCGCGCTGAAGCAGCAAGTCGACCACCCGCTCGTGGCCGCTGCGGGCGGCGCCCATCAGCAGCGTGATGCCGCACATGTCGCCGCTCTCATACGTCGCGTCGACCCGCCCGCTACTGTCGAGCCACGCCAGCACCGCCTCCTCATCGCCTCGATGAGCCGCTGCCACGACCGCATCGGGGGCTGCCACGACACCGCTCGACGCCCGCCCCGCCGCCGCCGCTGCCGACAGATTACTCGGCCGCACCCGCACGCTCTCGCCGCCGCCCTCGAGCGCAACCGCGTACCGCCCGCCCTCGAAGCTCCGCGCCACGCCCAGGCGCCCGTTCAGCTCGGGGCGGGAGGAGAGCCCGCCGAACACGACTCGCTGCCCAAGCAGCGGCGCGTCCTCAGCTGCCGCTGCCGCGCCCGAGCAAGCGCCGGCCCCTGCCCGGCCCTCCGCCGCCGCCGCCTCAGCCAAGACCTTGACGCACTCGGCATGGCCCGCATCCTTGGCCAGCTGCAGCGCCGTCTTGCCGTCAAAGGTAGGCGCCGCGTCTGCGCCCGCCCGCAGCAAGCGCCGCACGACGGCGGGGCGGTTGAAGAAGGCGGCGATCATCAGCGCGGTCCAGCCGACGCTGGTCTGCATCTTCGCCCCGCGCCGGAGCAGCAGCTCGACTATCCGCTCCTGGCCGTACATGGCGGCGCCCATCAGCAGCGTGATGCCGCTCGCCCCGCCTCTCTCGTACGTCGCGTCGACCCGCCCGCCGCCCTCGAGCCACGCCAGCACCGCCTCCTCCTCGCCACCCTCCGCTGCTGCGATGAGCGCATCGGGGGCTGCCGCGGCACTGCTCGACGCCCGCTCCGCCGCCACCGCTGGAGATAGCGTCTCCGCGACTCTCGATCCAGCCGAGGAAGCGCCGCCGGGGGAAACGCCGCCTGCGCCTTCGCCGCCGGCTGCCGTCGCCGGGGGCCGTCTCGCCAACACCTCCTGGACGTGCTTCTTGAAGGCCTCGACGCACTCGGCGTGGCCCTCCTCCTTGGCCATCTGCAGCGCCGTCTTGCCGATAACCGTGCGCGCCGCCGTGTCTGCGCCCGCCCGCAACAAACGCCGCACGACGGCGGGGCGGTCGAAGAGGGCGGCGAGCATCAGCGCGGTGAAGCCACCGCTGTCCTGCAAGCTGATCTCCGCGCCGTGCCGAATCAGCAAGTGGACCACCCGCTCGTGGCCGTAGTAGGCGGCGAACATCAGCGCGGTGTCGCCGACGCTGCTCTGCAGGTTGATCTCCGCGCCGTGCCGCAGCAGCAACTCGACCACCCGCTCCTGGCCGTGCATGGCGGCGTCCATCAGCAGCGTGAGGCCGCTCACCTCGTCTCTCTCGTACGTCGCGTCGGCCCGCCCGCCGCCGTCAAGCCACGCCAGCACCGCCTCCTCCTCGCCATGCTCCGCCGCCAGCACGACCGCGTCGGGGGCTGCCACGCCACCGCTCGTCGGCGCCGCAACACCGCTTTGGGAATCAGCAAACACCATGGGCCAGTGGTTCCGGCTCTTTACGCGGGCGGAGGGGCACGCACCCCAGACGCGCCAGCAATCTCCTCTCTCTCTCTCTCAAAAAAAACTGTTCTGCGCCTATCAGAACCTGAGCAGTAATGGGGCGGCAGTGGACGCGGTGCTCTTCTTCCCGGCCGGGACACTCGCCTTTGGACACGCGGCGGGATGGGCCAACGCCACGGAGTCGGTGTACGCGAACACCCACGCCTGGGCAGGGGGTGGAGAGGACCCCCTCCGCCCACCGAGGTGCCGTCAACCGGGAGTGCTCCGCCGTCACAGCCGGCTGATGAATCCTCGGCACGTCAGAGTGCTCCTCTTTGCGCCGAGGAGGGATGACGTGGCTCGAACGATGGGCACCGAGGCGCTGCGGCGACTCGCCTTCTTAGCGGGCGGCACCGGTGGGCGGGGGACCGGCGCACCAACGATGTGGGCCCCCACGTGGTATGGGGGCGGGGTCCGGCGGACGCTGGCGTGGACTGCGCAGACGTGTTGCGGGGTGGTGGACTTCATGGCACCATGGAGGGTGGTGCGCTGGCAACCCGACTCCCTGTCGTTCCTATCTTTGTCGGACGGGGCCGTGGGGGGTGGGGAGGAGGCGAAGGACGCGGCAGAAACGCTGCAAGTGCTACACGGGCTTGCGGGAGAGGCCCCGGAGGAGGCCGTCCCCGACGGAGCGGTGCCGGCCGCCCTCCCCCGGTTTCTGCGACTAGTGGGAATGGCGGAGGCGGAGATGGCGGGTGCGCTGCTCGGGATGGAGGGAGGCGCCCTGAGGATGGTGGCCCGGGTGGCCAAGCAGCGGGCGATACAAGTGACGCGCCACTGGCAAGCGGTGGGGATCCCTCTCGAGTCGCTCGGGATGGAGCGCTTCCCCACGCTAGCCGCCTGTCATGGGTGCGGCGGTAAATTTCGCACACTGTTCCACGTCAAGCCGGAAGACGGACCTGCGGCTACGGGAGTGGCTGAAGAGGTGGTTAGCGCCATCCTGGAACGGATTTCGGAGCGGGTGGAAGGAGAGGCGGAGGAAGGGATGAGGACGCGTCTACGCCAAGCCATGCAGGGACAGGGAGTGTTTGTGTGCTTTTGTTGTGCAGCCCCTGTGGTCCGTGAGAAGAGGAGGCGAGAAGACGGATTGGCGGCGAGGGGGCGGCAGCCGCCACAGCAGGCGAGCGCACCCCGAGCCGGGGATGCACCTAGGGATCGGCCTTCCCCGACGCGGATCTTGCCACAAAGGACGCGAGGCAGCCCGGAGAGGTTCGTGCCGGCAGCAGACAGGGTGAGACAACGACGGGATGCGATCCGAGAAGCCGAGAGGGATCAAGAGGCCACGGTGGCGGGCGAGAAGGCGTGACGCGCCGAGGCGCCGGCCAGTCGCAGCCGTAAGGCATGCCACAGCAGCAGAGGCAACTGCCACCCATTGGGCGGGCAGACAGAAGGCCATCGCTCGCCGGTGCGCGGGGCATGGCCTCCCGCGCGGTTCGCGCTCACTCGGCCTGCCTCCGCCTCACGGCTGGCTGAGTACGCCATGCGTCTGCCTGGTGCGGCGCTGCTCGCTCGCTGCGCTGCACAAAGCTG